CCCCGTAGTACACCCAGCAGGGGGTCTACTTAATAAAATAAGCAAGTGTCTTTATTTTCATGAAATTAGCTTCATAGAAAAATATCATATGTCTACTAATCAATATATTCAATTGTCGCAATATATGCGTTTATTTTCGCCTTGAAAGCTTTTCTTAGACATTTAGCAAATATTCGTCATCTTCAAAACAAATGGAACATGTGAATTACAATTCCAATATAGAATTAAACGCGAATTTTTTGTCTCAGTAGCTATCGGTCATTCCGAGGATATTAAAGGAGCACTTTTTCTGGTCGTTTCCAATTTGCGGATACTTTTCAACACCGTTGTTGCAGTTGATGGTGATCTCCGAATCCACAGACAAACAGCGAATCTCTACAAATGCAGCGACGTCAGTCTAAGTAGTGATGCAATTGGATGGGAGAGCATGGTCGTAACAGATGACTTTCACTTCAGACAAACCCTGTTAAATGCAGTTTGAGTGCAATTAGCGTTCCAAATCAATTGGCTTTCCTCGAAATGCTTAAGATTATGAGACAAAGAAACGAGTCAGTCGGTGTGATATGAACTTGCACATAAGTGAGCCGCTAACTCAACGATAATTAGGACACTAGTTTTTAGCTTATTTTAGTTTCCTGACAAACGCCTCTATAATAGACAAGTCTGTCATAAAGATAAGATTTTACACTAATTTGTCGCTGAATAGTGGTCAAACTTACGGGAACGCCAAGTCAATTAGTTGGACTGGACTTGTACAAATTCTGAGCACAACCCGGACGCTGAGTTTCTAAACACCGCCAGGTCTGCGACATCTCCGCACCAATATTCGGGTCAACAAAACCAACGAAGTCTAATCCAGCCACGTTTAACCAAAAATCACACATGCACTGCATCGATTATTAGCTTTTTGCGTGAAGGTGCCACAATCACGACGCCATCGAATACCACCGCACTTTCCATGCGGGCAGGGAGTGAGCAGAGGCGTGTAAGGACTTTTTCGCTTTGAGCCATTTGCATACGATATCTCACCCTCCTTTCCTTTTTTAGCCTTTTTGTTACTTTCATTTCCGCGTTTTTCTTGATAGACGATTATGCGCCTCGTTAGTGTGGACCAGACGGAGCTGGGTCGAACACAGATTTGCAATATAGGAAATTACTTTCAATGAACTACGCCCTTCCTCTAGACTAATAATGAGAGCGTTTGTGATAGTCATCGGTTAACTAATATGTATCGTCTACAAACCAACACCTCTCTCCATTGGTCGAAACAATCAGGCTCTTGTTGTCTCAGAAAGAAAGCTGACATTAACATGTTTATGGGGGTAGGTATGAAGGGGGAAATGCGATCACGGTTACAATACTTTCATTCGTCGGACGTTTCGGATTCTGTCGAGAATCCTCAATCATAGGTAACCATAGAAGGGTATGAGACATGCTCAGAATGAGTGGTATGTATAATTCGTAGCAGGCATCCGCATGCGTACTATACTTATCAGCTCCTGTAACCACCGCGTGAGTTCTTAATAGTTTCGGTTATGGCTTGGTAGTTAGCTTAAGAGTCATTAATTGCAGCGACGATTAAGTTCGCTGCCGCCGGAGTTGTTGCTGGGTCCAGCTCTCCCCACCTGACTGATTCTCCTGCTCAAGCAATGCTTCAGTTCGCAGTAGGGTAACGGCAAATCATTGCGCTTGTTGATATACTGTGGACCTGGAAACAATAGGCAAAGACCTCGCGGCACATGCGGTTGTCACATTTTGCGAGGATTTCGGCCTAGTTAAACTTGAAAATACGGCCAGGACCCTTCGAGTGAGCTGCCACCTGGGAGTTAGCGTCTTTGCTCTTCACCATCGTTGCGTGCTCGACCATTTGCATCGGGAGTAATCTCCCGGTTTCACTGACGCAGTCGCTTTGTCCACAATTGCACCATATCCGTTAAAGGACTCCAGCCGTTTCTTGTCGTGGCAGTGTGTCTTTCGGCCTCATGACCCGGCGCCTGATGATTGCTTTTGGCTGCATGAGTCATGGTTTTCAGGCCTACAGTTAATCAACAAGCGCAACGATTTGCGTTCCCATACTGCGTACTAAGAACTTGCCTGAGCAGGAGAATCAGTCACGTGGGAAGGGCCGGGCCCTGCAACAACTTTGGTGGCATCCCGCATAATTGTCGCGCAATTATCAAGCCCGCATCTGACACGGACAACGAAATCAAGGCAATTAATGACTCGAAAACTTAGTACCGAAGCATCACCGCACCAATTACGACCCCAAGTGATGCTTACATGAACAGAAAATTATAGTGCGCATGCGGATGATTGCAATGAACTATAAATACCGTGCAATTTGCGCATGTCTCACGCCATTTTACGGTTACTTATGATTACGGATTCTCGATAGAATCTGAAACGTCAGGAAAATAGAATTCTTGTTCCAATGATGGAAACTTCTTCTTCTGAACCGCTTCCTGGAATTCGCATATTAGCTTCCATCGACAGAGATAGATAAACAGGCGTGAAATTTAGCCAGAATAACGTATCGTGAAGTGTCCTGAAAGATACAAACACAGTCTACTAACCATTATACCTCTTATTGGGGTTGTAACATATCTACGATATCATTGATATGTGGCTCCATACTGTTCAGACCTCATCGAGTTCCAGAATGGGAAGGAGACCACGAAAACGCAGTACTGCAATTGAAACCTCATAATAATAAGTAATCGGCCTTTGCCCGGGGACCTCATTGGTGGAATTTAAATCGCTACAGTGAACTTTAGCTGAGGAACTGTGAGTGTTTTCATAACGATAGGTTAGCGCCTTCACCGAGGCAAGTCATCAAGGTAATTAGAACTGCATTCGTAAACATGCCAGTTAATGGAGAAAATTGTCAACATGATCTCAGCAATGTTTAACGTTCATTCAATTGCATGTGAATATAAGTACTAACTGAAGCAACACTATCGAAATTAAGGCTTGCATACCACATTATGTGTGCTTTCAGCAGCTGCTGACGAATGTTCTCTACCTTAAACGCCATTTTCAGCTAGACTTAGAACCCAAAAGTCAGGCCAGTTCACGTAGCATGGACATTTGCGATGTGAGCTCTCTGCAAGTGAACTGTTTTAGTGATAGCTTTTCAACAATTAACGCTATCGACGTCCATATTACTAGATAAGTGTTCAATGGGTTGTGTAAGAATGTAAATTAAACATTTTCTTTCAGCCGATGAGGGCTTTATAGTTCCATTTTCTTGATATTCGGTAAAATTACATTTAAGCTGAATATGAAAAGTCGATTTGTCAGACACATCTTTTCTGCAACACCTCAGCAGCCCAGCACATTAGCAGGGATATTGAGAATTGTACAGTACTTATCACTACATGTACCTAACCAACGCCCACAACCTTACCCAATTTTCCCCTACTCCCTCCTTTCCCAGAACAAGGACCTCTACACGTCGATCTTGTCATGCAGGTTACGTGAAAACGAGGAGTTGCGATCAGAGAACACTTATTAGCCCCTATTATCCTTGCAAATATACTGATCTGATGAAGAGTTGCTGGAAACGTATGCTTCTCAAATCGACTTTTCAAATTAAACATGAGAATATTTGCAAAATTTAAACTGAATCATGCAAAATACTAAGGATAAACTTACCGGAGTTTTTTGGCACCGACCGCTGCATTAAACTGTTTGGTTACAACTAAAACCTACTCGACATTCAGCTAACTGTGAACGCTAATCCGGCAAATTTGAACTGACTATTCCGAGTTTAATCCTCCGCTGTCCTCATGCACTGATAACTTCGTCCGGTTTATCAATATGACTATTAATCTGTCACCATGTCACAGGGTGTGGTGATCAATGCTCCGCCAACGTGATTGGTTAGCATAACTAGTTTAGAGTATGACATGTTCGGGTATTACATTATTCCACCGGATTTGGCACGAGACGTCTTACGCAGGAAACTTGACGAGCTG